TAACAGACATACCATCTTCACTGGTGTGGGGCTCTGTGCTGGCATCCTGGTCTGCTTCCTCTAATGTACCATGTTCACTATAGGGACTGTCACTGTAGAGACAGGTAATATTGAGCAGATACAGGCAATTAGAGTATGAAGCAGCACTTAATGGATACTTAAATTTAGCATGAAGTAGGCAGTAGGCTGCCAAGCTTAAAGTATCCTACTTCTATAGCTAATATCAATGACATTTTCTTTTGAAGCAAATACTATTAAATATTAATATTTTATAATTAGAGCCAGATGTGATTTCATCTTCAGACCATGGCATGAACACAATTACTACAGAAATTAACATCTCTTCCCTCTAGATACTATTTTCATGTATTTAAATATTATAAACTCTTCCTTATTGGAGACTTCCTTTTCAATAATACTGAAATGAGTTGCGGGGTGGGGGGGAAGGGCGAAGATGACGGAGGGACACGGGGTAATGGGAAAGGCACAGTGAAATCATTAGGGATTGAAATTCTTTAGCAGACCCAAGGGCAACTCCAAGATAGAGAGTATCCATATACTCTTAATTGTATATTTAGCACCATGGCCACATCTCATAGAATGGGAGTCACTCAGGTAAAGTAGAGTGCTATGATTATGCATGGAAGATCAAGACAGAAATGATAATATTCTAACTTACCAGTAGTCATCTCCAGCCATACATTTTTCATAAACTGGGCCATCGAGCTCCTTAGCATCTGGAAAAATGGCCTCATGATGGATGATGATAGTTTTGATTATTTCATTCACATGAGCCTGACACAACACCTGGTCTTGTATGTCTGGAACAGGCATCAGGGTTGGACCAAAACAAATGGCCAAGTTGTAAGGATCCATCATGTTTTCATCGCTGTACTGTGAAAGACTATTACAAAAAAAATAGTAGAGTAAAACAGACTATTTTTTCTCTGAGATCATCTCTGTCCTGAAAACTAGATCCTAAAAATGTGAAACGTTCTTCCTGGACACTTAGTCTTATACAACATAATAAAACAACAAATGCATTAGAAGGTGCTTTACTTCCTGGCAATATACAACAGTGTGTGAATTTATTGTATACACACTACTATTTTTGTTCATTCTTGCCTTAGATTCAGCTCTGGGAAAAGTTTAAGGCACTTGCTTAGTGTAATTCTCCTAACTGTAAAAGCTATACCTACATACATCATACTTACTAGCATACCACACACACATTTCCCCCCAAATTAGCCATCCAAAATTGGGTAGTAGTCATCCCAAACCATGTTCCAAGCAAGGAGGCTGGTTTTCGTGCTGGCGTGAAAGCATGGGGGCCATTAGAATATGTTAAAAAATATATTATATCTGTACTGTGGTATACTTACGTTAAACTGCCATTTTAAAATGTACTTCCATTTTGTAAAAAACCCCACAAAAAAAAATAAGAATGTGTGTATATGTGTGTGTGTTTTGGATGTGTAATTGATTGCTGAATAATTGCAGCAAGTATTAAGCAGACTAGTACAAAATATTTGACGTAAACAAAGATAACCATCAAGATAAAGTGCAGGTGGTGGTCCAGAAATGTGAAAATAATACGAATAAGGACTGAAAAACAGACTAGGATGGAAAGACAACATGTAACCAGTAACCGAGTCCAAAAGATGAGAGCATGTAAAGAATTAAGTGGTAATTGGTGGAAAAATCTCTGGGCATCGATTGAAGTCTGTCTCATGAAAAATAAAAGGGCAGTGAAGGCTGAGCCCAGATGGATCTCTTAATCAGCAACACCAGCCTACCCGCACATTGAAAAAATTAAAGCCAGTGCCCCTCTTGACTGAACATTGCCTTGAAAAAGTCTGCAACTGGCCACCACAGCATGACTCCAAGTGCCACGGATAGGTAACTTAGTGTAAATGGTGTGTAGTATGTATGGTATAAATAAGTAAGAGTAATTTTTATATAAGCTGCTAAGTTTGCCTCAGGTATCCATATACTATGCAATAAACCTTGGTTTGCTGAATCCGTGCATTGGTCGTTTATCCAACAGGGTGATGGAATGGCTGCTGGGGGCTGTGCTCACCTCTGGCCATATGCAGCAGGGACAGAGTCCACTCTTCAACATGACTTGCTGCCCCCTTGCTGTCATAGCTGCTGCCAAACTGACAGTAGCTTTTGGCTGCAAAATCTGGCGGTAAAATAAATCCAATTCTCCTTTTGTTCTGCCATACTTTGTTAATGTGCTGTGTGCTACTCTGAGATGCAAACTGTATTGTACATGTGATTACCCTTGTGATTATTCATGTGCTAAGTAAAGTGGCTTTGTGTGGTTCCCTACACATTCAATCCAGGAACAAGGAAAGGGGCAAAGAAGGGAAGATACTTACTAGGGTCCTGATCCCCTCATTTACTAAAAACATGTCATCAACTGGTACCATGAGGAAGCACCTGCAACTTCCTGATGGAGATTTTTCTGCTAGGTGGGGGACAGTTCCACTACTGTTGGGAACAGCAAGTAAGTTGCAGAGGAGGGACTAAGATTTTGCCAGGTTGAATCTGAAGCAAGCAGTATGACACTTACAAAGTGTAGCACTGATCCCGTGGAATACTAACCACAGAGGTCAGTGAATACTGACCCCAACCATATGAGAGGTATAACCTTTTATAACCCTGGTCAACATGGATAATTGAGTACAGGACCATTCTTGCTAGTGCTGGTACATCTTGCCCTTATTACAACTACATTCAGGAGAGAGAACTGGGTTGCTGGTGGGGTAGAGTGTAGCTACTAGAATCATGCTCGGATTTCTTAGGTGGAAAAGGATGGAGGGAAAGAACCTGGATCTAAATCTTTATATTTACGGCCTTTGTGCGTATGTCTGATAAATCACTTATCTGGTGACAAAGAATATGAATGGGACAAGCCCCTAGAAAGGTCTCCCTAACAGGAGACTTTTCAACCTGCTAAAACATCTGCAGACCTAATACATTAATATTAAAAATAATTAATTAGACATTTTAGTTTTCACATCCTAGAACAGCAGTTCCCAAATTGTGGTATGTGTACCACCAGTGGTACGCAGACAACCTGGAAGTGGTACGCAGAGGTACGCCAGGGGGAAAGGCTGCACACATACAGAGTCCAGCTGTGGCCTGCAGCACGCAGCCTGCTGCACACAGCCAGGAACGCAGCACTGCATGTAGAGCAGCACCCAGCAGGTACGTGTGCTGGGGAGAAGGAAGGGGGTGCAGATTGACCCTTACCCTTTCCCCCCACCCCTCCCCCTCCACAGACTTACCTGTTAGGTGGGGGGGTGTGCATGTGTGTCACTCCCAAGCCACAGCCCCCACAGCCCTGCTGCTGCCCCTAGCTCCTGACCCACAGTAACCTGCATCCTGCCAGGGCATGCAAAGACCCCTCCTCTCCCCAGACTCCAAACACCACACACACACCCACAGCCCCCTACCAGACATCTGAATACTGTGCTGTCAAGCAAGCTCACACCGTCACTAAAGCATCTCTGGACGGGTAAGTTTACAGTGTCTTTTTTCCAAGTTACAACTGTTTTATATGGCTACTGTAACTGATAAAACAATGTTTTATAATTACTAAAGGTTTTGATGTTGTTTTAATACGTATTCTGTTACCTATGTGTATGAAAAATTTGTTGGTGGTACTTCAGGCTGTATCGTTTTGAATTAGTGGCATGCAGTCTGTCAGAATTTGGGAACTGCTGTCCAAAAAGATATAACTGAGTTTTTTTTACAGTAAGGGTGGCCAGAATCTGGAATGGGCTTCCAAGAGATGTGGTGCTGTCACCTAACTTGGAGGTCTTCAAGAGGAGGCTTGATAGGCACCTGGCTGGGGTCATCTGACCTCGGTCCTCTTTCCTGCCAGGGGCAGGGGGCCAGACACTGTGATCCTTTGTGATCCCTTCCAACTCTACAATCTATGAATCTATAAACTCAACCCCAAACATACGTCAGGGAGTTGAGAGAAGGAAGGGAGGAATATGTAGACCAACAGATACAGGTATGAAAGGTACACTGGAACCAGGAAGCAAAAACCAGATGCATCCATTTCTAGCTCAAAAGCAAACTGAATAAAGAAATAAAAACTGACCAGAAACAGGTGCTGGTATACAATTTCTAGCAGAAAAGGCAAAATATTTAAAAAACTTTGACCAGGCTCCTTTTATACATTTCTTATAAGGAATTTCTCTTTTGTTTTGCTATTCCAAGGTGCTGCTGGTCATCACAAATTAGTGAAACTCATTTTCACCAACAGCCGGGCTGCTGCTAACTATGCTGTAGGCACTTCCAGAACATGGATAGTGCACTGCCGGGTAAAGTATAATCTATACATGTAGAGACTCCAGCTGGAATAGGAGACCCTCCAGACTCAAGACTTCCAGCAATACATGAGCTACAGGCAGTAGAAGGAGCAGTCAGGATTCCAGGCCTCTGAGCAGCTAATTCAGATTAACCCTTAAAACCAGGTACAGACATTACACTTACCAGTATAAGTGACTGGAAACCAGTCTATGTCCATAACAGAACAGAAATTTGGCACATATAGACTCATTTAAAAATGGTGAAACTTGGTCCAAGATTTGCCACCTGTTGTCCCCAAGGGCAAATGTGTGTTCTATTCGCTACCACTCTAAACTATACCACTTACAGAAAACTATGCGACTTGGATCAATTCCACCTTGGGTTTTTTAAATGTCTGTACCTAGCCTAAGAAGGGCCCTATGCTCAGCACTTGTTTACTGTAGTAAGAGAGGAATCATCAAACCAGGCTCCCTAATAAAAGCATGTTTTCCCATCTTAACTGCTACCCTTCAAAATCCCAAAGAGGTGATGGAAGTATTATCCACAACATCAGAAGAAGTGTCTGCAGCAGCAAGATAGAACCACAGCATAAATGGAGATGTAATGATACGGAAGGATGAATGAATGTGGGTGGTGAACTGCATTTTGGAGAGTGAGAGAGGCAAGCAAAGTGTTATCTGAAGGAGGAAGGAGCAGGAAAGAATGAGAAAAGGACAAAATAAGGAAAAGAAGGAAAAGGTGAAAAAAGGGAAAATAGAAAACAGAAATTGCAGGAGGCAGGCAGCGCTGCACCAGACAGAGAACATGACATAAGTATAAATACAGTGAAAGTACTGGGATTAGGAAAAAAAAGAAAGGGCAGGGGTAAAACAGAATTTTCTCCCATACCATCTTTCACTTTCTCTCAGTTTTTCCCCCCTTTCCTTTCCTGATCAGCCTAATTTCTCAGCGGCTGCCCCAGTTTGTAGTTTGAAAATCCGATCACTGTATGGCAAAGGAAAATGGGCGAGCGTTCTTTGGTACTTGTGGCTCCATGACCATTCCCCAGTGGACACATCAGAGAACATTTGTGATCTGCTCTACCAGAACACTGCATCCAGTAACCACTGGTGGGTGACTGGGTTGTTTGAGTGTGCTCCATTTTTTTTTCTCCAACATTAGGGCAAAATAAGCCTGATGGGGATCTCTCTCAAAAACTCTGCTTTTAAATCACACAACTTATTTGCAGTGCAGATCACTTGTGTGCAATTCCTTTCTGCTGTTTTCTAGCAATAGACCAAATTCCTTCATTCAAGACAACACTTTCGTAAGTTTTATTAACCTTGCTCAGTTAAGAAGAAATGAAAATTTCAGTTTGCATGAAAACTAAGTGTTTTTCTCCTTTCTTTGTTGCAAGTTCTGTGTTAAATGAAACTTCAATGTAATCTTCACATAGACTATGGACAAACAGAAAGAATTTTGATACCAGCTAAAGAAGTGGAATAAAAATACAGTATTTTGATAGGAATCTTAAGGTACTTACTGGTTGAGGAAGGCAAAGAGGTATCTCATCACTATAAGGACTGACCTGGGCAAAGTCAGGAGGAGTTTGCGGATGTGAAGAGCCCTCTCATAGAGATTATCTATTCCTGTAAGGAAAGAGGTAATATTTTCAGCTCCTGTTGACATACTGGTTTAAAGTAAGATGTAGCCTGTACACTCACCTGAAATGTGACACTCTGATTCTAACACTAGTTCCTGGTCAATCTTTTTACATTTTGGTGGTGGGGAAAAACAGGGGTTTTTTGCTTTTGTGATTTGGAGGGGAAGGGGAAAGTACTGTTTTAGTAATGAACAGACAATCATGCTCTTAATTATGTCTAGCCACTCAGCAGAGAAACTCTATGACAGCTTTCTAAGCTAAGCTAAAGTAGTCCACAAAACTTCAAAAGGAGGACTTTCCTCTCAAGGATAGATAAGTACTATTCAGAATCTAGGAAAGCGTGCTATCAGTTTCAAACAGCTTTTTCTGTCTAAATTTGCATATTGAGGATACCCTTCCCATCACTGATCTTAAGGCCTTCCCAACTTATTTTTCTCTATTGATACCATCTCTTCAGACTCCAGCTGTAAATCTATAAAGTCATATCTAGATCAAGTTAATGCATAAATACAAAGTACAATGATCAGGTATGTTTTCCCCAAATCATTTCATTTTGGTCTATTAAAATGTGTTCCTGAAGTAGGCAAAACAACTCTGATCAGGACTGAGGGCCACACAACATCAGTTCCTAGTCCTCCCAAACCCTCACAGTAAATGTTATTTTCTTCATTGTTAAGAATGAATATGTGACTTCAAATGGAAGTGATCTTTCAAAGCAGCTAACCTCTGTTTTGAATAAGAAATCCTTGAACCCTTCACTCAAAATATTTTCTAAATAAATGACACTGCTAAAAGCAATTTAATGCTTCAATAAAGCTCTTAAGTCTACCAGAAAATAATAATGCAAGTCACATAATTTAAACAACATTTTAGTAGAATTTTAGAGTCATGCTACCTAATGGCAGTGAAATGGATATTTGCCAACATTCAGGAACAGGGAAATGAGGAACAGGAGGTGAAGTCAACAGCTAAAAAGCATTTGTTACAGAATATAAGATATTCTCCAGTAGCCATTTCAAATAGTCATAGCCCTCAGAGGTCAGTGTGTGTTAATAGTAGACAGTTCCTGGTTGCTTGTTTTATATAAACTGGAACTGATTTTTAGATGTGAAAAGTTTGTTGATTGATGATTAAATATTTCTCCTTTGTGGAAATCAATTTCTAGGCTCTAATATTTTTGTATCATAAGCCAAACACAAGCTGAGCATCACAGCATCAAGATTTGTGTTTATCTTAGAAAAGTTCTTCCTTAAAGATAACCATTTCTGTTTTGTGATCTCAGGGTCAACACCCCTTTTCCTGCATCTGCAGAGATTATCACAAAAGTAACACTGGCAGCAGAACTTATATGGTGAGGAGCAGGAGGATTTGAGATAAGGTGGTAAAAAGGCTGCGTACATCCTGCACTGTATTAGCTCCTTGCGTGTCTTTTGTGCCCAGGAAGAAATTCCCATCTCCCCCTTCCCTCTCTGTAAAGGCAGACATGTTTTACCTGGGGAGGGTACTATGGACATTTATATACATATACTGTCATGCTGCAACTCGCCAGATATCCAGCACATTGGAGCAGACTCCATTAATTGAGTCTGCTCTGCATATGAGCTGATGTGCACTGCGCTGCATCGCCTGCAGTTGTATAAGCGGCAATATCCGTGTCAGCACACAGAAAATGGTGGCAGTCCACTTTTGAACTAAAACAGTTTCGACGTGTTTTAGTTCAAAAGCATGCCGCCACCATTTTCTCAGTGCTGATGTTCATTTTGCCACTTACACAACTGTATGTGCCGCAGTGCAAAGAACTTTTAAAAGCGCCTGGCACTGCAGTGCAAGCACGTGTACAAATGCCCTACAGTGGCAGCAGTGCTGGGCATATTTTTAACTCAGTCCCAGTAACTTTTATCCCAGTTGTGTTGCTACTAGCATGACATTAGAGAAAGCACCTCCTACTTGTGACTCTGAACATTGTAAAATGGTAAACTTGCGGCACTTACCAATTTATTTTGGAAGCACCTTGTTTCCATTTCCACTGTAGATAAAAGACATTTTTACCTGAGGATCTCAAACATCAAGGGCTAAATTATGACTGCTTCCATGGTGGGGTTGAAAGGAGGAGAAAAGTGAATGCAGAAACCCCTTTGAACCCAGACAGCAGGGATTCATAACTCTGCTGCTTGCCACATAGGAGGAAAAGGAAGCGTTGCTCTGTCTCCAAAGGTTATCTTGCCAAAGAAGGTGTGTCTGATACTGGCTGGGCTTTTGTGTCCATAACTCAAAGGCCAGCAGGTTAGTTACTGAAGGGAAGTACTGCCTGTGCTAGTGCCAGGTACAGTATCTCCTCTTTTACAGGTTTTACATGTTGGAAGCCTCTTCTTTACCTTGATTCTCCAGTACCCATAATTCAGTCCTACTTCCTCAACCCTGTCAGGTACTTGATTATCCTGTGCTCCATTCTTTCTTTGGGTGGTTGCATTTTTACAGGCTATCCACTGAATTCACTCAATACTTACACAAGTGATTCTCAAGCATTTTAGACGCAAGGAATCCCTTGTTAGATTCAAGATAGCCCTCAAATTGCCAGCTCTGAGTGTTCACTCATCTTTATACACCTGCCACCGCTGTCCCTAGTTAAGCCTGGCAACCTGCACACCTGCTCCCTGTAGCTAGAGCCCCAGGGTAAATGAACTGTAGGAGGAAGGAACAAGGATTTGTGCCAGACCTGACACCCTGCACAGCTGCTCCCTGCAGCCCCTGGCTGGAATGATACAGGAGCTGTCCAGGAGCTTCCTCCCACCCTGGACTAGCTGGGTACAGTAGGAGCAGTAGGAGCCAGTGGTTCTCCTCTTCCTCATCTTCTCCCTGCTCAGTCCCCTCAGGTTTCCCACTGTAGCCCAAGGCTCCAGCCATGCAACCATGTGAGGTATATTGTGGAAGAGGGTGTGCGACTGTGCCACTGCACCCCCCGGAACTGCCCCTGAACATGCCTGAATAACCTGCACCAAAGGAATAAAGGCAACCAGAGGAGGGGAAGGAACAATGCAAATAAAACAAGAATTAAATTTAAATGAAGACAGGAATATATCCCCTCTAAAGCACATTAAGAAAACATCAGGCAAACTGAAGGTTTAATTAAGCAATAATCCCAAAGTAGTGAAGTGTGCAACAGGTAATAAACAGTCAAATATCTCTACTACAATCTTGTGTGTTTGAGAATAGAAGAAGCTTAAAAGGAAACCCCACAAAATGGCCAGCACATGGTAAGTGGAGTTGGTCCTATGCATGGTTAGAGCTTATCAATGGAGGTCACAGCTTGCTCTCTCTCTCATTGCCCCTTAGTGAAGTAAGACGAGCACCTTCCCTTTCTGGGCCCTTGACTTTAATACCCCCCTGAGGCTGGGAGCAGGAATCAGCTGACTGGTTTGCCATTTGCCAGTGCCAGGGCTGTGGCAGGCTGTGGTGGCACTACTCACCTTTTGCATAACAGCTAAGTGCTCAAGGTTGCTTTTTGTAGTGAACACACTGCTGTCCATATCTACCAAATGTTAGGCAAAATCTACCAAATATTAGGAATAGACTACCGCCGGAGGCAGTTCAAGACATATTTGGATGCTTATCTTGCTGGGATCCTATGACTCCTGCTGACTTCCTGCCCCTGGGGCAGGGGGCTGGACTTGATGATCCTCCGGGGTCCCTTCCAGCCCAAATGTTGATGAAATCTATGAATCTATGAAAATCTGCCAACTCCTGACAGATCATGGGCTTCCCAAGCACCAGCAATATGGCAACACTGGTATTTGATTCCCAGTCCCAAAATCGCACCTCCTGCCACGCACATGCACATGCACAGGAAGTGTGCTTGTTAGGATCACACACTGGGTCCCATAGTGTCTCTACCTGAATGTTTGCCAGGGCCTAAGTGTCACAAAGGGACTGCATTTTTCCCCAGTGTGAGTGTAGGTCAAAAATAGGGGTGTTTATACACATGCTCCAGGAGTTGGGGGGGTGGCAGAAAGCACTTTAGAGCAGCTCAGAGTGTAGCTCCAGTGGTGCTGTATTTATACCTGATTCAAGGCTGCACATTAGGTGCCTTGATTATCTTGGAATCTAGAGTGCCCAGAGGGGAGGCATGTAGCTGCACTGACACCTGTACAGAATTCAGAACAAAGCTTAGTACTTACAGCAACTTTCACTCTTGAACACAGTGGGCTGTGGTGGTGGCACCCACCTTCTGCAAAACAGCCAAGTATTTAGGGCTGCTCTTTATATTGAATACACTGCTGTCAATATCTACCGGGCATTGGGCAGAATCTGCAAATTCCTGACATATGGGGTTCTTAGGCACAGTTTAAATACCTCCTAGCACCAATATAGATGGCAAGAAACCTCAGATGGAAGTTGTGTGCACCTAACTGGACGGTTTCTGCTTGCAAATACAAATCTCCATCTACATACCTAGGAAACTATTCATGCCACAATGGAGACATGTAGGTGTCCAAGTGCATTTGCAACAGAAGCCAAACACCCAGAAGCCAAAACTTATTACTCATTTTGCACCCACTGAATGTCAGCAGCAACTTGGCTACAATACTGTATATACAATCCTTGTTATGACCAATCTGAGGTTGACACAATTTGCACAAATACATGACATGACTGAATTTGGCAATTTGTGCTTCAGGTTCCATTTTTGTGGCTCATGGACACTCGTATACAACACAGAGGTGTATTTATTAATTCATTAATGCTGTTACAGTTTTCTGAGATCTGCTTTTGAAGGACATTATGGGATGTCAGAGTACTGTTACTATCCAATTAAATACCCTATCACTATCTCTTGGAAAAAGAAAAATTTACTGCTACTTTTTGCTAATATATTTTCAGGAAAAGTTGACAGTTCATAATCTAGTATTTTATTTCTGAAAAACAGGGCAGTATTCTAGTACCATAGCAAAACAATTTCCTGACTTTCAGAGGCAAGGTAGTTATGTC